AGCACCACTCAGACACAAATGTGAGCGTTACTGAGACTAGTGCAATACCTAAACCCTTTCTATGAGTTGTACATGCTCACTGAATCTGTTTTATATTGTACATCTTCTACTTCTTTGCCTAAGATATCTCCCCCCTGGTCAGCTCAACAGGGGTGACTGGATCAAAAGAAGTCTTGTCACTCAGTTGGCTTCTATCAGCCATGGTTTGCCAAGTTCTCCCATGACTCCTTGGCTTGTATCCACGGTGCCTGTGATTTCAAGGTGGTTTCCCATCCAAATACTAGCAACACTTAGCTGAGGCCAAGTGCATTCAGTCTGGCACAGTCACATTAATGAAGATCTCACATAGCAGTCAGTGTACAAAGATGCTGGGGGAGGCTGCGGAAGTGTGGAAGGGGTGGGGGTAAATTGGCTGGAGGTAGGGGGACAGGAAAGGGTAGATGGGTTTGCTGATAAATTGATCATAAGCCACTATTTCTCCCCACAAACTTTGTAGCTGCTTTTTTCCCAGCCAACTTATTTGCTGCCTTGCTCTGTCTCTAATGCTTTAGCCTGGTAGATGAAAACTTAGTTACAGGACTTGGTGAGTGCTAGGAAGTCATGGGATCCCAGAGCCTGGGTAGAAGCAATAAACCTCCTATGAAGCACAGCAGTGATTATGCTACTCAGCACATATCCCTTTGTGCATGATAGCTTTATAACATTGTTTAACCTCTCTCCAGACAGCATAAGCTGCTTTTGGTTACAGGAAGTTACTGCTCCGGTAATACCTGATAAAAGTCTACAAGACACTGAGCAAATGGGAAAATTAACTATTATTGGACGTGTTTCAGCAAATAGGATTATTTGAGGTGCCAGTTATCGGGCCGCTCCAAACATTCATCTCATTGGAGTTGGCAGCTAAGTTGCCGAATGATTTTTAATCGGTCCTGTGACTTATTATGCTAAATGAAATTATAATCCAATGAGAAGCTTAGTCATTTTTACTATTGATTCCACGCCAAATTTGAGAGGGGGGGAAAAATCTTTACAAATCTTATAATCAAATGCAAGTCCAATCTTTTTGTTGCCTTTCTACAGAACCGTTACAGGCGCAGCTCACGTCAACCCCTGCTAGAGGATGGGCAATTATGTAGTTTAAAGATAATGCAGCAGGAAGTATTCAAAGCAAGCTAGAAACCATTTGCTGAATCACTGAAAAAAACAAGATAAATGGCAAGGGATACATTTTATGGCTCCTATGACTATCAGGATTGGTTTTTAATATCAGGGTTTCTTTTCTAAAGGCTGAATTTTGTCCTCTGAAGCAGATACACTGTTTCTGTACAGGGCAATGCTCCAACTGAATGGTGGCTTTATTTTAGAATTATGTCTATGCTTAATAAGTGAGTGTTCAACCAGCATCTATCTTGTGCAATGACTCTCGAGCTGTTTTGGGTGGCATAGTCTTTTAAATTTGATTACACTGCTGTGTAGCCCTATGCTTCTGTTTTATAGATATAACAGAGTAGCACTTAATGTCACTACATAAGAAACCTCTCCTACAACCTAAGAGGTGCTGGAGAGTTTTCCCTTCTGCTCTCCAATTCCTTCCTCTTGTATAAAAATCTGGAAGTGTGTGTATACCGTAGGAGAACATATACCCCCAACTGGGGACATACAGACTAGCATCCTGGTTTTGTAAACTAGAGCAGTCCAAATACAACTGTAAAAGGCCAAAAGATACTGAGAAAATGCAGAATGGTGTTTCTCTTTCTGGAGGGGTGGGGGAAATCAAGATAGACATTTGGAAGAAAGATTGTCCTCTTTCCAGAAAATGCTTTTACTGCACATTTTATTACTTTTAAAGAATTATTTATTATTTATTTTTAAGAATCGGTGCACTGACTGATGAGATTCTGAGTTAGACATGTACATGGAAGCATGATTTTTGTATTATCTTAGTGCATAAAAGAAAAGGGCAAGTTTTGTTTGCATAAAAGAAAAGGGGAAGGACTTCCTTTTTTTTACCCTTGTAAAATACAACTCTTGACAAGACGTTCAACTCTGTAATGATCCTAGTTCACAGGCAGCTGGAATTAGCCAGTGATCACAAGCCCTTTGACAGCCCTTTGCTTTTTTACAAAGCAAGTTGCTGGCCTCGGTCTGCATCCTGGGTGCCAAAGGTCCACATAGTGTTTCCACTGCTACTTACTGGTAACAGCGGGCAGACTCGCTGGGAGCCAGCAAAGCAAGGACACCGTGTGAGTTGTGTTCCCGAAAGAAATGGAAACAGGAGCAGGCGTCAGATCAAGCCACGTCTTATCAGGAATGATCCTTCTGGACCCGGCACAGGGTTCGTGACTAGAGGCGGTGCACAGCTCGCGCCAGCTGACTTCTCCTGTGCAGAAGTCACTTCTCATTTACAACCGGATAATGAGACCAGAATCAGCCCAACAGTTTAAAACCTAGTTTTTACTTTTAATGTACCTAGAGTGCTGGCAACACCACTCAGTCTTGCTTCCAGTACTTACATTAAAAGAAGAGAAAATAAAATGAAGGGCCATAAGAGCGCTGGGGAAAAGAAAATCATAGCTGGCTTTTTAAGAAGTTTTAACAGCTTCACCATTTTATGAGCAAGTTAAATTTTGAAGTGTGCCAGTAGTTTCACTGTTAGCACATATTAACAGCAGCCCAGAGGTTTTAGCCCTGGCACCATCTGAACAGCACAGATCTAACCTCCGTGGTAGACTTACGACATGTGAAGATGGTCTCGGGTGATGAATGGTGCCAGCCGATGTTACTTGGGGGAAGACCACGGGGGTGGATCGGTTCTGGGCTAGAGGCCTCCACTCTGCTCGTGCTCCTGGACTAGGGGGATGCTCCTATTTAAACCCTCCATCTCGATATATGCTGGGCATGCTGACCCCTATACATGAGAAGCGCTTAAATAACATGCGAGTTTTTAAAGCATTGAAGATAATGGACCTGCTTGCAAGCAAGCACTGAAGTGCTTTGTTGGACTGATGCCCAATGATTCAGCTTAGCCTCAAGGAACACTATAGGCCTTGCTAGTTCAAAGGCAAGGGTTGGATTTAGAAGCGTTCGAATGCACGCTCAAGATCGGCCCCTGTCCTCTGTATGCTCTTGCTGCGCGCACAAGCTGTGTCCTGGTGGTTGTGTAGGTTTCCAGTTCTAAAACATGCTCGAATGCATAAAACTGGGAAGTTATTTAGAGCCAGTGCAGTCAATGTAGCCTTTAAAGGAAGCCACTATCAACATTGCCAGCAAAACGCAGCTGATACTAATTTTTTTGCAACATGCTACTGCTTTTCCCTGGTCAGAAACAGTCTATGTTTCAGTGGGGAGATAAATGGACTCTCCCCTGAGTCCTGCATCTCTGCCATCTGAAAGCACAATGCAGTCTTTAACACATGAAATGTATTGCAGTCAAAAGGGGGGGTGTTTTTATAGGAGTCTCTTGTCCCAATTATTGGCAGCTCATCACTGATTCATCAATTCAATGAAATGCACTGAGTATGAAACAGAGAATGCTGTAAAAATACCCTGTACCAAACAATAAAAAGTCCTTCCTGTCTGACATTAGTTGCATATTTAAGATCGGCGTTTAATGGGGATCTTCACAGTTTCTATAAATTATAGATCAACCAACATATATAACAAAAACATTTTTTTGTTTTTTTGGTTTTTTTGCAGCTAGCTATAATGGTGCTACAGGAACCCAGAGCACAAAAGGATAAAACCGTCTTTGAAAGTAGGCAGTCCACATCAGTAATCAGTTTACAGTCAGCTGTCTGTGCCCTCCAGCTGGCTTTAAAATGGCATGTACAGTTATACAGAGGATTTTTACTGAATAGTTGTAAACAGATCTGAGGACCTGCAATAAAATCAATGTGATGGTGGAAAATTTTCAGGGTTATGATAAGCTGCTATTTACCAATCTGTGTGTGTGAGATAGAGACCAAGGAGCCTCCGTAGCTTTCTGCATAGCTCTCATTAAAATTTTCTTTATGCAGATCACGCTTTTGCCACTTGTGTGCTGAATACCAGCCCAAGTAATTCCTCTCTCTCATCCTCCAGGAATGGCTCTTATCAGCGGTACAAAGCTATTGAAATGGTATGTCCTCTTCAGCTTCAAACTTATTTCTTTTCAAAGGCTTCCTCTCCTGAGACCTGTGTGAGAGGGGCTGTCTTTATTCAAACCAGGACAAATCTTGCATCTGTTCAGATAGGTGCTGACGATCATGTTGTGATCTCTGTTTCTGATGCATCGCTGTCCTTTCCTGTACCTTATCCCTCAAGGATGTAAATTCATCAAGGCAAGGGCCGTGAGCGAGGTGCTGGTTTCATCTGCACCAGGTGTAAAAGTCAACTCTTGGAGCAATAGGATCCAGATTTACAACGGGCAGAATCCAGTCCAGTATCTCCCTGCCTGTTGGTCAAACCTGCAGGGTGCTGCTGGAGCCCTACAAATAATATGTAACAAATCCTGTCATTCTTCAATTCAATTTATGCCTGCCTCTTATCCAGGCAGAGCCCTTGCTCCTGTTTGAGGGAATTTTCTGTCACAGGGGCAAGAAAAGGCTTCAATATTGGCCAAGAGTTCAACCCATTGGAAACAACGTTGGTTTGGGATTCATGTTCCAACTCACCTTTGTGATGCATCAGCTACCGTTCTCATCAGCCCTCTCCAAAATCAGCTTTGCCCTGAACAGTGAGCCTTTGTTTTTTCTCAGGCTGTGCTAAAAAAGAAAATAGGAGAGAGCCTTGCTTTCAGTCACCCAGAAATGAAAATATTTCAGTGTTCTTGCTGAAACCCAAACCATAGAAAACCTAAAAGACTGTTGTTTTAGCTCAGCTTGAACAGTTTTGCTAAACTTGGAAAGAGTTGGTGAAGACGCACAAAGTTTGGTGCAGAAACAAGTCAAAATAGTGTATGGCTCGACGGATTAACCTTTTTTTGATGTTCTCTTCCCAGAATGAAGTCCTCCAAGGTCTGATGTTCACCATCCACGCAGATACACCAGTCCCCCCAGATTACACCATGCCAATTCGTCACACTTTTAAGAGATCCACAGCAAAACGCACCGACTAAACACATTGGTCCCCCAGTCGTGGAGATGCCTCATAATTTGACAGGAGAAAATGGTTTCAATTTCAATTCGAAGCTAACTTTTCCCAGCGCAGCCAGTCCAGTTGAAAACAGCCTAAGTTGTGATACGCCGAGCCCCAAGGAGCCCTGTACCACTCCCCTGAGCAATGGCACCTTATACTCTGATGCAAACAGCCCCTCGGACTCCTGCATTAAACCTCTGTGCAACGCCACGGCTGAAGCAGAAGCCCAGTACGACCCAGGAGTCGAGTACATCTCCTCCGAAGGAGACACCCTGACGTGTGGGTGGGGGGCTTTCACACCTAGCTGCTTGCAGATCTTCAATACCCCAAAGGGAATCTTGTTTTTCCTCTGCGTGGCTTCTTTCTTGCAAGGCATGACCGTCAACGGCTTCATTAATACGGTCATCACATCAATAGAGCGGCGCTTTGACCTGCGCAGCTACCAGAGCGGGCTGATTGCAAGCTCGTATGACATAGCAGCGTGCGTCTGTTTGACATTTGTCAGCTACTTTGGGGGGAATGGCCACAAGCCACGGTGGCTGGGGTGGGGGGTGCTGATTATGGGCATCGGCTCCCTCTTGTTTGCCCTCCCTCATTTCACCACGAGTCGGTACGAAGTGCATTTCCCCGAAGATATCGGCATGTGCTCTTCGAACCAGAGCATGCGCTGTTCAGAAACGGTCTCGAGCCTCTCCACCTACAGATTTAT